CAAGGAATTTTTACCAAGGTTCTACACTGGTATTAATATGCCTGAACCATGAAACATGATTGTCTAAGACTCCTGAGGTGATTTATACAAAGTTTATATACGCTATTTGCTAAATTCAGGTAAGAAAGTAAATCAAGATAAACCTCATTTGGCATATATGTCTTCACTCTACAATTTTTTTATTGTACCAAAAAATTACATGATTAGTGCTAATAAGATTTTTAAGTATCCCCTAGGAGCTATAAAATCAGAAGAGTATGACTTCAATATGGTACCAGATGCACGTTTTAGGTGGATAGTATAGGTGGTTTTAAGGGGCAGCTGAGAGTCCCACTTACTATTGGCACCTGGAACTTCCAGAGTTTTTATTTATTTCCTCAGCTTTCTACTGTTAAACATGGAAACACAAGGGAAGCATAATTAATCACAAATACTTTATAGAAGAGACTTAGGTTTGTGCTTTAAACTTTCTAAGAGGGATCTGGACAAAGGGCTAACAAGGTTTTAAAAGAGATTAGGGAAAGCAAGAGCGATTGAGGAGAGCAAAGGTCACCTGAAGTGGGAGTTTACCTAAGGCAGGGCAGGTAGGCGGTGCTCTAGGTAGTGGGTAATATTAAGAGGGCAGTGTGTGATTCCGGAAGAAAGTTAAGACTGATAAAGGTCATCTGTTGTCCTTAAAGTTTTCTTCTGCATAACGGTGCATAGCATCATAAAGTAAGAACACTGGGTCATGTAGATCAGTAGGTTTTTAATGAGTGTGCATGTATGAGATACTGAAATAATACCACCTGTCCATCCTCTCCTGGCCCTGAGATTCTCGGGGTGACCATCACAGTTACATTGAGCCATCAAAGGCTGTTAGAACCTTATTATTTGGTTTGCAGGAGGCAAAATGGAAGAACAAGGCTGAGAAAGGAGGGATGGCCTGTGATTTTTTATAAAACATAATTGAATTCAATATTAACTGCCCTTTTAAAATAAAGGGTGTACTCTATGTGTTTTCAGTTGTTGTACAATGTCAGTTTTGATTAATTTTTAGTTTTTTAAACAGCATATGAATACAAAGCACCATAGTATGATAGTTAAGTGTATGGGCTCAGGAGCCAAACTTGCTAGGTTGAGTCCTGGCTGTGTAACCCTTTTACCACATTGAGAAACATCTTAAGTCCACATCCAACTCTTAGTAAAATGAGAATACAGTATTTTGCATTCATAGTGAGGTATTTATGAAATACTCTATGAAAAGATGGCAGCACACTGACAGGAACATAGAAAGCCTTCAACATGTGTTTGTTTAATAGTAACAAAAATACCGAGTATAACAATCAGTGTTCTCTGGGAATGACTTCTGCTTTTGAATTAAAACCACAGCATTGACTTTTCATATTCCAAACTTGATTAATTTAGCCATTGATATAAGACTCTTTAAGTACTGAAAGAATATGTAATTGGGCAGAAATATCTTGAGAGGATAAAACTAGAACTTGACGAACTTATTGTAAGAAATGATTCTTCTAATCCAGCAGGGGTTTTTTTCCTTTTTCTTTTCTTTTTTTTTTCTGAGACAGAGTCTCACTCTATTGCTTAGGCTAGAGTGCCAGTGTCAGCCTTGCTCACAGCAACCTCAAACTCCTGGGTTAGGTGATCCTCTTGCCTCAGACTCCCTAGTAGCTCAAACTACAGGTACCCACCATGATGCCTGGGCTCTTGCTCTTGTGCATCTTTATCTTGAACTCTGGAACTCAAGGGATCAACCTGCTTCAGCCTCCCACAGTGTTAGCATTACAGTTGTGAGCCATTTATCTCTGGCCTAAGACAGTATCCTTTTAAGTGTGTGATAGGAAGTTTTGGTGTTTCCTCACCCATCATGGGGAAATATTCAAACTGGAGATGGGAGAAGAAAGCAGCTGTGTTGACTTACTAGGACTCTCATAACAAAGTACTGCCACTGGGTGGCTTAAATAACAGCGATTTATTGTCTCACTTCTGGCACCTGATAGTCTGATATCAGGGTGTCTGCAGTGCTGGTTCCTTCCAAGGGCTATAAGGGAGAACTCATTCTCTGCCTGCTGCCTGGCAGGTTTGCTGGCAAACTTTAGCATCCGTTGGCTTCTGCTTCATGACCTCAATTTCTGCCTTTATGTTCACTTGGTCTTCTCCCTGTATGCACTTCTGTGTGTCTAAATTTCCCCTTTTTATAATGGCACCAGTCATATTTGATTAGGGGTTTACTCCTAGATTATGTCCCCTTAACTAATCACATCTTCAATGACCTTTTTTCCAAATAAAGTTGCATCATTTCCAATAAGGTTGCATTGTATTGAGGGCTAAGACTTTAATCAAAGAATTTTGCAGGAGACATGATTCAACCTGTAATGGTATCCTAGTCTAGAATAACTGTAACATACTTCCAGAAGTTGTAGTATGCAATACTCAGTAAAAGTTCAGTTGTATTCAGGTGGATCATTCCAGAAAATATGCTCATAAACTGAGTCACTGAAAACACCAGGACAGCCAAGTGTTAGTGGCCTCCTGTTGTGGGTGTCCACATGCCCAACACAAATACAACTATTTTGTGTGAACTTGAGGAAGAGAAATGTTGCTCCACTCCTCAGGATGAATCCATGAGGTGGAAGCTAGAAAGGTAAACTCTTACACTGTTATTTTCAAAGAAATAACCAATGAGGCTCAGAGAAGCAAGCAACTTCACATGCCAAACAGGTAACAAGGAAGTGCTACCCTGAACAAAAACCTCAAGGATCTTTTATTGAACCAGGAAAAATCCATTAGTACAAGACATACGGAACATGCAAAATTACAGATAGAAAGAAAGAAATCAGTGAATTGAGGAAACAATGGAAAGAAAGACAAAAGAGATTATCATAAGATTATAAAGTAAAAAAGAAATGGTACAATGCCTTGGGGGTAAACTTTGACTTCCCTATTCTATGCTGCTAATCTATATCTTAAACCTTAAGTGATTTCAACCTTTGAGTCTCTTCCAACACAAGACCCATAGATCTATATCTAAACTGCTGAACATTCCCGACCCCCTGGTGGTGTCCCACAGGTACTGTGTTCAGTAAAAGTGGGTGAGGTAGGGGGATGTAGAAGAATCTGGGCTATTGTCAGCAGCTCCTCAAGAATGTCAGCCTATACTAAACTCTAACACACAGAGTAAGAGAGTATAAGGACAAGAGCAAGGGTTGGGGGTGCTGGTGAAATTTTTTTGTCTTTTGCTCCCAAGGGCTTTATATTTAGTGAAAAAGACTGCACAAGAAACAAATTTAAAAAGCAGAAACAAAATGCTGATCTCTCTTTACTCAGTAGGGAAAGATTACATATAATTACATTTTAATAAGTACTACTGGTAACTCTTAAGTAAATCTCTATGTACCTTTATGTGTGTATGTTCATGTGTTCAAAAAAGGAATTTTACCCAAAGCTTGGTGAACTTCCTTAATAATAGGAATTATAATTAATAATTCTAACCTAAAATTATAAAAGACCCTACAAGGAAGACTCTGTATGCTTATATATTTTAGGGTTAAACCAATAAAGAAGAGTTTCTTTAGCCTCTACAGTATACCTTATTTTCTATTTCATCATATTGACTTCCATCATGACGAAATACGTTCTCATATCACTCCTGATTCACCAGTGCTCCATCCTGAGTGAAGCCTGGCAATCCTACTGCCTTCCTATTACATTGTTTAATGCATTATTCCTCATCAGTGATCCATCTTACCACTTGACTGCAAATTCCTCAGGAACAAATTTGCCTTATTTTTACCCAATCCATCTTTGGATCTATAATAGTAAACATAGTATTTGGTACAGAGTAGCAATTCAGTGTTGAATCATTGGGAAAGATTAAGTGCTATAAAGTAATTGAGTTTTTGTTCTCAGAAATAGATTGATTTGAAATATAAAAGAAATATTGCTATTTTAGGCAAAAAAAAGGGAGGGGGGAAGGAAGATAAGGAAGAGGAAGAAGAGGATCTAGTGTAGTAGTTCTATACTATGGTTGCCAGTGTTAGCAAATAAAAATATATGTCACTCAGTTAAATTTGAAATTTCAGATAGATAAGGCATATATTTTAGTATAAGTATAGCCTAAACATTGCATGGGACATACTTCCTTTAAACAAAGAGTTTATCTCTAATTTAAATTTACATAGGTGCTCAGTACTTTATCTGCCAACTGTATTACAATTTCTTTTGAATATACAACATTTTTGACTATTACATATCTATGAATGAAAGCACTGAAATTTCGTCTATAAAAATGTTTATGCATACAGAATTGTGAATTCAATGTCAGGTCATTGATAAGGATAAAAGTAATAGAAGTAAAGATATATGAGGTCAGACAATTAAGTTCACGAATTAATTCTATATATATGAGGTCAGACAATTAAGTTCACGAATTAATTCTAGACAAAATGCTACATACCTCATTTTTGAACATCACTATGGTCACCTTTGGAGTACTCCCCTTGGCAAGCTATGCACCAATGTCAGAGCCTAATCCACCCTTTAATGCAATTTTGGAATTCTTTTTTGGGGATGGCTCTAAAGCTTTAAAACATCTACTTAATAATTAAGTTAAAGAAAACATATACTTGAAATTTACAAATGTATTTTAAATTTAGTATGATTAAGTTTTAAACATCTATCATAATTTAAAGGAAGGAGGTGGTTAATGGTGAAATATGTGACTAAAAGTTCAAATGAGAAGTGGATTGAGATAGAGCAACTTGGTTTGGTAACATGAAGATCATTTATGACCTATACTAGCAGGTTAGATACAATGAAGGGGTCAGAATTAAAATTAGATTAGGTGGTGGAGTGAGAGGGGAGCAATAGAAACAACCAGGGTAGAGACCTCTCATTTAGGTCCTCCTGTCTCCACCACTGTAGCTCTTGGCTCATCTTGGCCACTGATACAGGCAGAAATCAAACAACATGCTTATTCTCAGGTGTTAGCAACTTTATTGAAATATCATTTTATCTTCATAAGAATATTACAAACACATTTAAAAATCTAAATACTAATGTTATAAAATATATAAACTTGCATATTTAGTATTTGTCAACAAGCCAGAGGTTTACTTCAAAACATTTGACCTCTTAGAAGCAAAGGCATTTTTCTGTCATCCCTTATAACTCTGCCTGCATAAGTCTTAGTGCTTTCTTCATGTTTTCAATCACTGAAATAAGAGTAAATATATTATGCTATTAGTAAATGAAAGTATGAAATATTATAATCTTTTAACTCTAGAGTCTGAAATTGGCCCATTTAAATGCATAGCTTTGAAAAGATGGCATAAAAGAGTATTGCGCTAAAGCTATACATATAAATTTAGGGTGTAGACTACTCATATCTAGTTGAGCAACATTCTCTATGTTAAAACAATTTTATCAGATGGGTTTTGAAGGAGTAATATGATCATTTTGTATCAGAATTGCTGGATCTGACAGGCACTATGCCTTATTAAATATAGTAGATATTGAGTGTTGTAAAAAATAAATGAAAAGATTTTATTATCATTTGAAGAAATCACAAGCAATCCTTTGTCCTGGAGAATGTACTCTCTTAAGTTTGTTTAATTTGAATGTGTACTATATATTCTTTTAAGTGGCCTCTAAATTTGGTAATCAATATAACCTTTAGGCATCCCTGTTAAAATAGAGATTCTGAAGTGCCCAGGAAATTCTGATTTGGGTGGGAGATGGGAGTTTGCATTTTTAGGAATCAAGACCAGCCCTGGTGATTGTAATTTGTAGAAGGCACTGTTTATGGAGAAACAGTGCTTGGGGGAGTCTTTGGCCATTTAAATAGTCAGGTATCAGCTTTGATCACTTTTCAAAATAATTTATGAATACTTACATACTGGTAAATCTTGGGGCTCATATGTATACAACCTATTAGAGTATCTTCCAGTTATGTCAGCTCTAACTGTTAAAGAAGGGTCTGTGAAAGGGAAAAAAATAATTTACGGAAGTATTAGTTAATATGTTCTCAAAATCTTTTTTGCCTGTTAGTCTAAAACCAATTTCAAGCAAATCTGTAAGCAAAATTAGTTTACATACATTATGAGGAATTAACCTGAATTCTCCTTTCACTGTGTCTTAGTTCTCTTGTCAATACAGGTTGGGGCATTATACTAAAAGTACAGGGGAATATTGATTTAGTAGCATAATCTACTTTTAAAAATATTTAAAATTCTCAAATTATAGATACAGTGAATGTCGATTATAGAGCTAACAAGTGCTATTATTGGTTTGTTTAGAAATGACTTCCCATTTAAGAAAAATACTGCTTGAACTAGCATTTCAAAACAAAGCAGAGAGGCTAAGATTTCTACTATATTTTTTTAAATATTATGAAATGAGAACACACACATACCCACAAACATGATTCTAGGCACATACTTCCCATCAGGTGATAAATTCTTATCAGTAGTCTCATGCTAGTAGAAGAAGAAAAAAATGAATGTTACTGGAATGGATTCTTTTTGATAGTTAATTTCAAGAATATTTTATGTGAACTAGATTTTTAGTAAATTGTATATTTTAGTCTTTTACAATTCTATATAACTTTCTATATCAACATAGCAATCAACACTTAGCTCTTATGTTTTAAAATCAGAAAAACAGGGATTCAAATATTTTATTAAATTATAATATTAAGAAAACATTGTAGAGTTTATGCACCATGAGATTCAGCATGACGAAATTATTCTGAGCCATTTCTTGTATTTCTTCATTTTGGGCAAATACTTTTTTTAGTGCTGTAGGAAAAAACCAAATGCCAGTTAGTTTGAAAGATCAAGCTACTGTTTCTAATTTGTTTGCATCTATAACTTGGGGGTTAATAGTTCATCGGTCTATTGCCACTTTGTCACTTGTTGGGAAACTGAGGGATAGTCTCTTCTGGAGATACCAAGGGAAATTTTATTCGTGGAGACACTAGTTTTATACTTTCATGTAACTCACTGGCTCATTGGTTAAAATAACTATTTCTTTCAACAAGTTTTCCCACTCACCTCATCTCCCTTTTTGTGAGAAGAAGGATAACAAATTTTAAAGGATAAACAATGAAAATATATTCAAATGAACAATCATTGTAGTCTTTAACACTTGAGTAAAAGGGTGACACTCTGGCAGTTGTCTTTTTTTAATGGGTTTTTTTTTTTTTTAACTATTCTCACTATTCTTAACAGCTTTTTCTACTTCATGCTGGAAATATAATAAAATCTCAGGAGCTAAAATTACCTTGGCAATATTGACAATCCTCCAAGTGATGAATAACCATCAGTGGCTTGTTACTAAAAAAAAGGAAAGTGTGGAATTAAGTTAAATTATTAACTTTGAGCCAAAATATACAGTGGAATTAAATTTAAAGCCTAAATGACCCTGAAATATATATCAATAGGCAACTCTCACGCTGCTTATACATTGCAGGTTGGCACGAGAATGAAAGGATGTGAACATAGCCAAATATTAAAGCTTTTTAGGAAAACTTTTGAAACAACTAAATAAAAAAAAATCTTTGACTCTTTTGCAATCTTATACCAAGTATTCATTGGAGGCTCGGCGCCTATAGCTCAACCGGCTAAGGCGCCAGCCACGTACACCTAAGGTGGCGGGTTCGAATCCCCAGCCCGGACCCGCCAAACAACAATGACGGCTGCAACCAAAAAATGGCCAGGCGTTGTGGCGGGCGCCTGTAGTCCCAGCTACTTGGGAGGCGGAGGCAAGAGAATCACCTAAGCCCAGGAGTTGGAGGTTGCTGTGAGCTGTGTGATGCCACGGCACTGTACCGAGGGTGATAAAATGAGACTCTGTCTCTATAAAAAAACAAACAAAAAAAGTATTCATTGGAAATGAATTTTATTCACAATACCCTTTCATCTCTGGAGACAAAATTGATTTTTATTCATCTAACTGCATTATAGCATACAAAAGAATTACAAAAAAGCTTGCTATGCTACAGATTTCTAGACCCTACCTCCAGAGATTCTTATTTAGTGGGCCACGGGTGGAACTTTTACATTTATTTTTTTCTAATAAACTTTTGGTGACACAGTTTTCAGGCTGTATGTTGAATAATATTGCTCTAGACTACCTTGCCATGATTCATAAATCTGAGATTTTTACTTTAAGTCTTGTTGAAAGTACTAATTTTGTTTTCTTTTAAAATAAATTACAAATTTAGCTGGTTTAAAATATAAAACTTAAAAAGATAAAAATTCTTCCTCCTACTGCTTGCTTACATAAGTAAGCAATATTACTGTGTTTTATGTTTTCTTTCAGAAGTTTTCAGGTCATGTACCTGAATATGTATATATGTGCTGTATTTTTTGAGGGGACAGAGTCTCACTCTATTGTCCAGGTTGGAATGCTATAGCATCAGCCTAGCTCACAGAAACCCCAAACTTCTGGGTTCAAGTGATCCTCCTGCCTCAGCCTCCTGAGTGGCTGGGACTACAGGCACCTGCCACAGAGCCCAGCTTATTTTTCTATTTTTAGTAGAGTAGAGTCTTTCTCTAGCTCAGGCTGATCTTGAACTCCTGAGCTCAAGCCCTCCTCCTGCTTCAATCTCCCATGGTATTAGGAATATAGGCATGAGCTACTGTGCCTGGCCTGTATTGCCTTTTAAAAAAGAAAAAAGCACAAATAGAAGCACATAGGTATTTGCATTTTTTTTCATATAACATATATCTTAGCATTCTAGTGTTCTTCTGTATAAAATTCTATTACATGGATATATTTTAATTTATCTAATTAGTCCCCTCAAAGATGGGTTATTTAAATTGTCTCCAGTCTCTTATGTTTAGATTATTTCTAAACATTTGTATTTGCACAAATGTTTATTTAGGAAATATGCTTTTCTTTATGAATAATTTTGCAAATGGGTAAGTATATTTATGAATAAATTTCCAGAAGTAAATTTCTGGGTCAAAGAGTGAGTACATTTGTACTTTTGATGTATACTCTCCATAGAAACTGTACCAATTTATATTCTCTCTGGTGATGTAAGCAGTAACAGTTTCCTCTCTAAAACTGGTTAAAATGTTTTAATCTAGTAGCAAAAGAAGGCAATTAATACGGTTTTACTTTCTTATAAGAAGTCAATATGTGGGGAGGGGCAAGATGGCCCACAGGCACCAGCCTCCAACAGAAGCTCCCATCCAGAGGGAAGGATAATGTCCGGAAAATACCCAATAAAGTTGAAGATTGGGAGCCTAGCAAAAAGAGAAGAGTGACATCTGCAGTGACATCTGAGGCAAGTTGAGACTCCAAGAAAGCAATTTACAGGTACATCCCAAAGGAAAAGTGTCCATCTCCTCCCCAAAGAAAGTTGTGGTTTTCTCTTTGTTTTATCTTCGTCTGTTCCTGTAAGTTTTCTACAGGTGAGCGGTGAACTGAGGACCTATTATCTCAGCCCATGTGTGAGAACCACAGGAAGTGGGGGTCTACTACCCTAGAGGGACCCTGCTGAGATTTTAAACACTCTCACGCTTGGCAGAAAAAATGAACAAACGTTTTCACTGCCATTTTGAATTTCCAGTCCACCCTTCCCCCCTTGTCTACAGAGACAGTGAGGGAGAGCACAAGAGCAGCGTCCCCTACCCCCGCGAGAACAAGTGCCCAGTCCCGGTACTGCAGCCAGAGATCTGCTAGACCTGTGTGCATTCCACAGGCAGTGGTGGAGGAGTCCCCACCTACATGGGAGGCCCCAGAACTGCTTGCTAGAGCCACGTGCGCCCCAAGGGTGGTGGTGGAGGAGTCCACTGCTCCGGGCAGGCCCATAACTACCTGTTAGAGCCACGTGCATCTTGTGGGCGGCTGCAAAGGAGTCCCCCACTCTGGGTGGGCCCAGAATTGCTTGCTAGAGACACGCACACCCTGCAGGTGGTGGTGAAGGAGTCCCCTGCCCCAGGTGGGCCTAGAACTGCTTGATAGAGGTGCACATGTCCCATGGGTGGCAGGAGGGCCCAGAACTGCCAGAGCTGTATGCTCCCGGCATTCCTGGCCAGCCACCCAAGAACTACAAGAGGACGGTCAGTTGAGAGGGAATTATACTAGAATGGCTTTACCCTGAGTTGAAGAGCAACAGACACAAGGAACAACAAGACTCACATCCCTGAAGCTCTTCCAGACAGACATGCTCTGCCTCTTTGAGCAACCAGAGAAAGCCGACATCTTCTCTGATGGAGGCCACTGACTGAACGGTTTTGGTACGGTCTGCACATGGTGTAAATTCAGCATGGGGCGGAATCAGCAGAAAAACTTTGGCAATTTGAATAACCAGAGTAGATCAACTCCCCAAGGAAGGATGGGGCAGATGCAATTGAAGATCCCATCCATAAACAGATGACTGAGATGTCAGAAATTGAGTTCAGAATTTGGATAGCAAATAAGATTAACAGAATGGAAGAAAGGAGGGAATTAGAATTTCAAGAAATTATTCAAAAGATATCTCAAAAAATTATGCAAAAGATGTCTTAAAAATTCAACAATTTCAAAGATAAAATGACCAAAGGTTTTGAAACACTGAGGCAAGAGGTTGCAGCCTTCAAAGATCTGAAAAATATGGTAGAATCCCTTGGTAACAGAATGGAGCAGGCAGAAGAAAGGATCTCTGACATTGAAGACAAAGCTTCTCAATGTGCCCAAGCATGCAAAAATGAAGAGAAATGGAGAGCAAAAATGGATCACTTTCTCAGAGAGCTCTGGGATAATTTGAAGAAAACTAATATTCATCTTATAGGAATCCCTGAAGGTGATGAAGTAGCTTCACAAAGCACAGAGGCTCTACTTCATGAAAGTATGAAAAAGGACTTTCCAGACATGCAAAGAGATCCTGAAATTCAGATAGCAGACAGTTTCAGAACCCCAGCATGCCTCAACCTGAACAAGACATCCCCCAGGCACATCATAATTAACTTCACTAAAGTTAATATGAAAGAGAAAATTCTGAAAGCAGCTAGATGTAAGAAAACCATAACCTACAAGGAGAAGAATATTAGAATGACTGCAGATCTCTCTGCTGAAACCTTGCAGGCTAGAAGAGGGTGGTTATTGACTTTTAACCTGCTAAAACAAAATAACTTTCAACCCAGGATCCTGTATCCAGCTAAACTGAGTTTCATTTATGATGGAGAAATTAAATACTTTAATGACATTCACATATTGAAGAAATTTGCTATAACTAAACCAGTCCTCCAGGCTATTCTCAGACCAATCCTCCATAATGACCAGCACAATCCTCCACCACATAGGTAAACTCACACAGAAAATTTTGATCAAATTCCAACTTCCACAGTGGTGAAAGGATTAAAGATGTCCATTGGACTTTCGAAAAACTCAATATCCAAAATTATACCAGGTTTATCAATATTCTCAATCAATGTGAATGGCTTTAATTGCTCTCTAAAGAGGCACAGGCTGGCTGACTGGATACAAAAACTCAGGTCAGATATCTGCTGCATACAAGAATCCCATCTTACCCTAAAAGACAAATATAGACTCAAGATGAAGGGATGGTCATCTATATTCCAGGCAAATGGAAAGCAGAAAAAAGCAGGTGTTGCAATTTTATTCACAGATACAATAGGTTTTAAACCAACAAAAGTAAACAAGGATAAAGATGGACACTTTATATTTGTTACAGGTAATACAATGAGATTTCAATCATCAATATTTATGCACCTAACCAGAATCCACCTCAATTTATAAGAGATACTCTAATAGACATGAGCCACATGATTTCTCCCAGCTCCATCATAGTTGGAGATTTTAATACTCTTTTGGCAGTGTAGGATAGATCCTCCTACAAGAAGCTTAGCAAAGAAATTTTAGATTTAAACTTAACCATTTAGGATTTGGATTTAACGGGCATCTACAGAACATTTCATTCTAACAAAACTGAATACACATTTTTCTCATCAGCCCACAGAACATACTCTAAAATCGACTGCATTTTATGTCACAAGTCTAACCTCAGCAAATTTAAAAGAATAGAAATTATTCCTTGCATCTTCTCAGACCATCACGGAACAAAAGTTGAACTCAGTAACAACAGGAATCTGCAGATGCATACAAAAAAAAGGAAGCTAAATAACCTTATGCTGAATGATAGGTGGGTCACAGATGAGATCAAGAAGGAATTTACCAAATTTTTGGAACAAAATGATAATGAAAACATGAGTTACCAAAACCTCTGGGATACCACAAAGGCAGTCCTAAGGGGGAAATTTATAGCACTGCAAGCCTTCCTCAAGAAAACAAAGAGGAAGTTAACAACTTAATGGAACATCTCAAGCAACTGGAAAAGGACAAACACTCCAATCTGAAACCCAGAAGAAGAAAAGAAATAACCAAAATTTGAGCAGAATTAGATGAAATTGAAAACAAAAGGATTATACAACAGATCAATAAATCAAAAAGCTGTTTTTTTGAAAAGGTCAATAAGATAGATAAACCTTTGGCCAGCCTAACCAAGAAAAAAGGAGTAAAATCTCTAATCTTGTCAATCAGAAACAGTAAAGATGAAATAACAACAGACCTCTTAGAAATTCAAATAATCCTTAATGAATATTACAAGAAACCTTATTCTCAGAAATATAAAAATCTGAAGGAAATTGACCAATACTTGGAAGCTTGCCACCTTTCAAGAGTTAGCCAGAATCAAGTGGAAATGTTGAACAGGCCTTATATCAAGTTCTGAAATAGCATCAACTATACAAAATCTCCCTACAAAGAAAAGCCCAGGACCAGATGGCTTCATGTCAGAATTCGACCAAACCTTTAAAGAGGAACTAGTACCTATAGTAGTTAACCTTTTCCAAAATATAGAAAAAGATGGAATACTACCCAACACATTCTGTGAAGCTAACATCACCTTGATCCCCAAACCAGGAAAAGACCCAAGAAAGAAAGAAAATTATAGACCAATATCACTAATGAATATTGATGCAAAAATATTCAACAAGATACTAACAAACAGAATCCAGCAACACATCAAACAAATCATACACCATGACCAAGTGGGTTTTATCCCAGGATCTCAAGGTTGGTTCAACATACGTAAATTTATAAACGTAATTCATCACATCAACAAACTAAAAAACAAAGACCATATAATTCTCTCAATTGATGCAGAAAAAGCTTTTGATAATATCCAGCATCCTTTCATTATCAGAACACTTAAGAAAATTGTGTTCTCAAATTGATAGAGGCCATCTACAGCAAACCCACAGCCAATATCATACTGAATGGAGTTAAATTGAAATCATGTCCACTCAGATCAGGAACCAGGCGAGGTTGCCCATTGTCTCCATTGCTCTTTAACATTGTAATGGAAGTTTTAACCATTGCAAATAGGGAAGAAAGGACAATCAAGGTATCCATATAGGATCAGAAGAGATTAAACTTTCACTCTTTACAGATGATATGATTGTATACCTGGAAAATACCAGAGATTCTACTACAAAACTCTTAGAAGTGATCAAGGAATACAGCAGTGTCTCAGGTTACAAAATCAACACTCATAAATTGGTAGCCTTTATATATACCAATAACAGTCAAGCTGAAAAAATAGTCAAGAACTCTATTCCATTTACAGTAGTGTCAAGGAAGATGAAATATATGGTAGTCTACCAAACAAAGGATGTGAAAGGCCTTTATAAAGAGAACTACGAAATTCTAAGAAAAGAAATAGCTGAGAATGTTAACAAATGGAAAAACATACCATGCTCATGGCTGGGAAGAATCAACATTGTTAAAATGTCCATACTACCCAAAGGCATCCGTATTAAATATATAATTTTAATGCAATCCCCATTAAAGTTCCACTGTCATACTTTAAAGATCTTGAAAAAATACTTCATTTTATATGGAATCAGAAAAAACTTCGAATAGCCAAGACATTACTCAGAAATAAAAACAAAGCAGGAGGAATCTTGCTACCAGACATCAGACTATACTATAAATCCATAGTGATCAAACAGCATGGTATTGGCACAAAAACAGAGAGGTAGATGTAGGGAACAGAATAGAGAACCAACAGATGAACCCAGCTACTTACTGTTATATGATCTTTGACAAGCCAATTAAAAATATTGAGTGGGGAAAAGATTCCCTATTTAACAAATGGTGCTGGGTACACTGGCTGGCGACCTGCAGAAGACTGAAACTGGATCCACACCTTTCACCACTAATTAAGATTGACTCTCACTGGATTAAAGATTTAAACTTAAGACACAAAACTATAAAAATAATAGAAGAAAGTGTAGGGAAAACACTGGAAGAAATCAGCCTGGGCGAAGATTTTATGAAGAGAACCTCCCGCAATTTTATTCAATTGAAGCAACATCAAAAATACACTACTGCGACCTCATCAAATTAAAAAGCTTCTGCACAAAAGCACAGTAAGTAAAGCAAGTAGACAGTCCTCAGAATGGGAGAAGATTTTTGTAGGTTATATCTCCGACAAAGGTTTAATAACTAGAATCCACAGAGAACTCAAACATATTAGCAAGAAGAGAACACCTGATCACCTCTCAGGGAGGGCAAGGGACTTGAAGAGAAACTTCTTTGAAGAAGACAGGTGCATGGCCTACAAACATATGAAAAAATGCTCACCATCCTTAATCATCAGAGAAATGCAAATCAAAACTACTTTGAGATATCATCTAACATCAGTAAGATTAGCCCATATCACAAAATCCCAAAATCACAGATGGTGGCGTGGTTGTGGAGAAAAGGGAACGCTTCTACACTGCTGGTGGGATTGCAAACTAATATGTTCCTTTTGGAAAGACATCTGGAGAACACTTAGAGAACTAAAAATAGACCTGCCATTTGGTCCTATAATTCCTCTACTAGGTATATATCCAGAAGACCAAAAACCACACTACGATAAAGATATTTATATCAGAATGTTCATTGCAGCCCAATTCATAATTTCTAGGTCATGGAAGAAGCACAAGAGCCTATTGATCCACGAATGGATTAATAAATTGTGGTATATGTACACCATGGAATACTATGCAGCCATTAAGAAGGATGGAGACTTTACCTCCTTCATGTTTACCTGGATGGAGCTGGAAAATATTCTTCTTAGCAAAGTATCTCAAGAATGGAAGAAAAAGTATCCAATGTACTCAGCCCTACTATGAAACTAATTTATAGCTTTCATAGGAAAGCTATAACCCAATTTTAGCCCATGTATATGGGCTAAGAGAAGAGGGGAGAGGGTGGGTGGAGTGAGGGTGATTGGGGGGATTGTGCCTATGGCTCATCCTATAAGGGTACATGTGAATCTCTCTAAATGTAGAATATAAATGTCTTAACACAATAACTAAGAAAAAGACATGAAGGCTATGTTAACCAGTTAGATGATAGTATTTCAAATTGTATACAGAAACAGTACACTGTACCCCATGATAGTATTAATGTACACTGCTATGATTTAATAAATAAATAAAAAAATAAAAATAAAAGAAGTTAAAAAAACAAATTTCTATGGCAAAAAAAAAAAGTCAATAGGTGAGGTACTCATTTTCCTGTTCTGTGAACTATCATATCTTTTGTTCATTTTTTTCTATGGACTTGTTGACTTTTTTTCTTTTTAATTTATAGGAATGTTTTGCACATCGGGGAAATTCACCCTTGCGATATAGTTTGCAGTTTTCCCTTTATTTTGTTTTGTGTCTTTTCCCTTTGATTATGGCATGTTTTTGGTTATGCAAAATTCCATGTAATCAAAATATCAGTCATTTCTTTTCTCTTCTCCTTTTCTTCTTTTCCCCTTTTGATCATCTGCAGAACTAACAGACAGGAGGCCTGGGGTCAGGCAATGGGAGCATCTGGGTGGCAGCGATTGTGAGCTTTACTTCTGCATCCCAGGCACCCCTCTCACCCTACCCTAATCCCTGCCCTCTCCTACTCAAGATTTAAAGCCATAACATTTTTCAATAGTGTTTTCTAGTACCTTAATGATTTTATTTTTATCATTACATCTTTCCAACTTATTTTGGTATAAATGTGACATATGAGTCCAAATTTATTTGTTTTTCCCAGATGGCTATTAACTTCTAACACTATTACATAATATACCTCCCTTCACCCTGATTTAAAATACCACTTTAGCATATAAAAAAATTCCTGTAGCATCCATGTATTTATTTATTTGTGATAAGTAAAAATTATATATCTTTATGGTATACAATGCTCTTTAGACAGATGTTGTGGAATGATTAGATTAGACTAACATCTGGATCACCGCATATACTTATGTTTTTGTGGTGAGAACACTTAAAATTGATTCTCTTGGAAATTTTCAACTGTGGATCAGCTACCAGCTCATGTCAGAAAGAAAGAAAAGTTTTCAATAAAAAAGAAAAAGAAACATAGATTGGGTGTAATTGTGAAGGAAAAATGTCAGAGTCTACCAGAGAGTCAATGGGAAAAAGTAACAGAGCAGAAGAAGATCAAGGTACTGGCAGAGATCAACCCCTGAGAGGTTGATCACTAAAAATAAAAGGGAAATTAATCTGGAGGCCTTTACCTTTTTTGAGCATGAAAGAGACCTTCTTCATAAGTTTGTACCCAAGTGATATCATCTCCCCATCCTAAAATAAAAGAAAGAGATCAGTGCATGACTATAGAGGAGCTCTAAAATGGGTATCTAACAAGTGGATACCCACCTGCAGATAACTAATGGAGCCACCTACTGTTGGCTGACCAATGATGCAGAGGATATACAATTTTAACGGGATGTGAAGAGGTGGTGTCCTTTCAGATTATAGTAGTGAGGTTATAGGATTCTGTTTCAAACCTCGTGGCCTTGACCACAGTAAGTGATTAATAAATGCTATTAGAAGGGACTGATTAGCAGGCCTAGGGCAGCTTTGAACCCACCACCCCCAGTACATGGGGCCGGCATTCTAACCATTGAGCTACTTGCACCTGGCTGTTAGAGGTGATTGAAAGGATATCTCTGGACAATGCAAAAGCTCTGGCTTTCAAAATGTTCAGAAAAATAACAGTTAATCTTTGCAAACTTTGTAAAACTATCAGAACTACTTCAAACTTTACTCCACAGTGCCCTTGTATCTTGACTCCCCAGTGATGCTGACATTTTCTAAGTCAGTATATTTATGGAAAAAAGAAAATTCCAAATTTTGCTTTGAGTTCTCACATAGAAAAAATTCAGGTGTGGGAATTTCGTGGTTGAGAGACATAATAAAACACATGCGATTTGGAAACATCCAGAAGAGTGCAGGAGAGCAAGAAAGAAATCAGTGAGTAGGGATAGAGCCCTCCAGACTACAAGAAGTGATGTGAGTATTTGAAAATGTGCATCAGACAATTAAGAACAAGAATGCACAAAACATCCAGAAATAGTGCAGAGTACTTGCAGGAAATGTTTCTATTGATGTGTGAGAAGCATTAAATTAATGTGAAAAAAAAGAGAACTATTTGGAGGCTAGTTTGGATTCAGATTTTCTTACATGTTTCAAATGTTGTCAGACATTAGTTCTGGGCTTTGATATTATGGATATTATATTATGGATATAATAGCAAGGAATTATGAAGCAGAATTATGAAGCAAGATTTATGTGATCCCATGATTTTTGCTCGTTTGTTTTGGGATAGCAATGTTACTGAAATATAACTTACATACCATTACAACTCCCACATTGAAAGTGTACATATTTTTTTAGTATCACAGAGTTGGGCAACTGTCACTACGGTCAATTTTAGACATTTTCATGAACTCAAAAAGAAATTCTAGCTATCATCTCCTGCCCAATCTCTCCATCTCCCCTAGAACTGAGAAACTCCTAATCTACTTTCTGTCACTATAGATTTGAGATATTTCACATAAATAAAATCATGTAATATGTGGACTTTTGTAACCAATTCTTATCACAAACTTTTCAAGGTTCATTCATGTTGTGGCACGATTAATATCAATATTGAATTACTTTTTATGGTTGAATATAATTCCGTTGTATCGATATACCACATTTTATTTATTCATTATCAGTTGATAGACATTTAATTATTTTCACTCTTTTGTTTTTTATGAAGAGTGCTGCTATGAACATAATTGATCCAGTTTTTGAGTGGGCGTATGTTTTCATTCCTCTTGGGTCTATATCTCAAAGTGGAATTGCTGAGTCAAATGTTAACTGTATATTTAACACTTTGAGGAACTAATACATCATTTCCCAAAGTAGCTGTATTGTTTCATGTTCACAACAGCAATATTGTTGGATTGTTTTGCCTGCTTTAAAATGTATTTTTTTTTTAAATTTCTAAATTTATTGTGCATATTAGGTGAGATCCTGCCAATTGCACTCCCTTTCTGCCAATCACCCTCTCTCCTAATTCTTCTTCTCTCCCTCCTTTCCCCCTCCTCTCTCCCTCCTTTCCCCCTCCTCTCTCCCTCCTTTCCCCCTCCTCTCTCCCTCCTTTCCCCCTCCTCTCTCCCTCCTTTCCCTCTCCTCCTTGCTAGTCTATATTTGTGTTTCATTCTTCCCTGCTTTACAGTCTTAACATTGGAAGACATCTTTTGTTGGTTTATATTCCACTTAAGCTGGAATTCTTCCTCTCTGTGAGAATCCTAAAAGATTCTTTCTCCAAGTGTGCTTGAGTACATGCTGTATCTTCATACCACATTTTTGCATTAAATAAAAATTATTCTAGAAAGAGCAAGTAAAAATAGCCCCCTGCTTAATTTTCCCTTTTCTGTTGCAAATATCATTCAATGTTGGGGCTTTAGCTGCAGGAAAAATTCCTATTCAACTTAGTTCCACAAACACTAAAGGAATATCTTCTATACATCTTCCTCTACTAAGCAATGTGAAAACAAAGATAAACAATATAATCTCTATTCTTAAAAAATTATTCATGGCCCTGTAGAGGAGCCATCCTACATTATAATTATTTTTATACACCCTACCAGCTCATGATCACAATAGGCTGAAGCTGGTACAGCGTTTATACTCCCTTTGTGGCTTCTATTCATTACCATAATTCTATCTTGAGCTCTGGCCATGCTTTCTTGTCTTTTAAAATTTCATTCATTCATCTAATATGCATTTTTTAGTATCTGCTATATGTTAGGCATGGGACTGGGTGTTAGGCCGTTCTTTTTGTTCAAAGAAAGTTATGATTTTTTTTTTTCACTATGAGTGTGTGTGCGTGCATGCATATGTGTTTTCTTGAATTATATCTTACTTTTTAAATTAATCTTCTCTTTTCCCCTTACTGCCTTCTCAACTGTTTGCTACTGCCCTCTGCTCTCTGCTCATGGCCTCTGCTCATGGCCCTCTGTTGATATTGCACCTGTTTTCCTGCTTCTCATCCCTACTTTTCATCCTCATTCATTCTGAGCTTCATTCTCTCAGTTGTTTCCTACATAGCAACAGATGGTGAAAGGCTTAACCAAATATAAACCAATTCTTAAGAATTGGATTGTCAACTATTATCAGTCACTTTCCCATTAAATTAGTTCCTACATAATTTGAATAGAAGGCCCACTAAGTTGTTTAAAATATCTCATACATATTTAATATATATAGTTTTAAAATTTCACCAGAAGTTTTAAATGACATTTAAAAGAGAGCACACAGAATGTTGATGCCTTATAGTAGCATGCTACTTAATTCAATCCTGGGAAGGTCTTTAAGGGAAATGATTAGTTTATAGCCTTTGGCACTTTTAAGGCTGCTCAGTTAATTGTTTTATAAACATTATGCTTATACAGAGAGATATATGATACATTACATTTAGGAAAATAGTTGTCCCTTTACATTTGTTTCTTTGGCAAAAAACGGACTTCCTAGATACATAGTTTGAGTGATTGTTAAACTGAAGTAGCATTAATTAGCTTAGGTAAACACTGACGGACACTTGGCTGACCCTCAATACATCTGCCAAGAAATGAATGATCTTGGAAACCAAGTCAATGTTATAAGATTTTAAATGATACTGTAATTGGCCTGTATATGTTTGCACCATTCCAAACAGTGGTCAAGTAGTTTGTAGTTATGCTGCTAATTTTGAATAACCGTGTGGGGATGCATGATTCTGTTCCTATTTCTGTTATTTGGATCTACAGGAACAAATTTTGATAATTATTTTCTTTATAAAATGTTTATTTACAGATGAAAATATATTTGTTTCTCAGGCCAGAGTAAAATAATACAAATAAAATGTTTTCTAACATGCAGCCAATGACAGTTCTAGATTATGGTGTCTAAAAATGCTGACTCTTTCTTCCAAAGTCAATGTAGCAAATTGGTTAGCCCAATTCTGAGGGACTGGGATATGATATAATTTTCTGGGTAGGCTGGTATAAAACCATTCCAAACTATTTTCTTGCCTTATTAAATAGAGACCTGGGAATTTGAACAAATTTTGAGCAATCCTAAATTACTTTTAGGACACCAATATGACACAGGAAAAAATCATTATTTTCTATGATTCTGGTTATGAAAGTTATAGACAGAAAACTAGTTCTCCACTATTTCTGGGAAAGATGCAGCAAATTGTTACTGTTTGACAGTTGGTTTGATTTACTTCCTAAAATCAACTGCTTCCTTCTTTTAGGAAAAAAAGTCTGTCTTGAGGTTCTATACAACAAGAGTCTTCCAGTTAGTTGAGTTTGCTTTCTAACTAGACTATGAGTGAAGACAGTTCTATTTTGAAAACAAACCAAGTGACTGAGTTTAGAAAATGAGATTGCAGCACCTCTTGAGAGGGTCTGAGGAGGTCTCTTTTCCTTTTTGATTGCAATGCCAAGGTTGGAAGAAACTGTGATGAGTAAGAGGTAGAGATCCAGAGGCAAGTGGAGAATCATATCTTCTACAGAAGCTCTCAGAAGAAGCTGGATGACACAGAAAATAATTCTTAGCAGTGTTTTTCAACCTTTTTTATCTCATTGCACTCTTGAACCTATACTTAAACTTCCATAGCACACTTAAATTATGTTGATCAAAAAAAAGTAAAAAAAAGACTGTACTTACTGATCTTTGACTATATTTCAAAAATAATTTAAATAATTTACATTTTTAATAATTAAAATGATTAAATAATTACTTAAATTATTTAAATTATTTAACTTAAATTTTTGCAGCACACCTAAGATCCTCTCACTACACACACACTGGTTGGAAGTCCCTGGTCTGTTGGGTTATTTCACGCTGTCATTATAAGATATTTGCTAAGAGTTGGACCAAACTTGTGCTGGTTCTTTGATTTTACATGGCTGGTGGAACTACCTAGAATTCAACTTCATACATTATTTTAAAGATATAATCAATTCAATAAGTGGGCAGTTGGTGAAAAGTCACGTTCTGGGTATCCTGAGCATAGGGCAGTGTAGTTGAAAGTGAGCTGGATCAGAGTACACACAGCCTGCTTGTAGGCTGCACTGCAGTGCTCATGTCCCTGTGAGGAAACTTAAGACCATGTTTGTTCCCGGCCTCTATAGTGCAATGGAAAGGTGACTTTTAGCAGATAGAAATATTCTGGTTTTCTCCAGATATTTTTCCATTCTAAAATTTTCCCTTCCTGGTGGTATACCTCTTCTGGCCTTTCTCTAGGGTTGACGACGGCCATTCCAGGTTAGCCTTTTAAAAATTATTTCCCCCTTAAATCTTCAGTAGACCCATTTACTACTTTCTTTGTATTCAGCCATTTAAAACCCTTGTTAATTAATAACCATGGTGCCTGATAAAAATTTCAGTTTAAGTTCCCATAACTTATTAAACCATAAAACACTCCCGAATATCATCTTATAACTAAAACACTGCAACAAGAGAGGGTAGGGACAGCTGAATCGGGAGCTCAGAGCCAACCTGGAGAGGACAGTCTGAGCCAGTTCTGTGGTCACAGTGGAGAAAGGGAAGCAGCCATCTAGAACAGACTCATCACCTCAGTTCCGTGGGTGTCTAAAAGGTCTGAGAAGGAGGGATGGAAAGCTCAGAAACTCCTGAAAGTTTTTGTTTGTTTTTTGGGAGAAGAGAGCCCCAAATTGTATTAAGATTCTTTCAGGGATCTTATCTGTAAAGAACTATGAAAAGTCGATCGGGAGCAAGTATGATAGAGTTTGGTTTTGTTGTTGTCGTTGTTTGCTTAGTTTTTTAACATTAACAGGTGGAATCTACTTTTAAAAAAAGAAAGTATACTTTCACATTTTACTATTTTAAAGTGGCCACGTTTAAAGAGGTAACTACATCGCTTTTTAAATTTTAAGTATTTGTGTACTACTGTCAAGTGGTTTCTACTTAAAAAGAAAAATAAAAATCTTGGTTTTCTCTTTTACATTGTTTGATAAGTTATAAAATAGATTTTGAATATGTTTTATGACAAACAATACAATACAATGTGTACATTATTGTTTGGGGATAAACAACGCTTTCCTTAGTAAAACAGAGTGGAAATTGCTGAGGGTCCTTTAAGTCCCAGTTGCAAGGTTAAGTTGGAAGAACACAGAGGACTATGACACAGTTCTGTCCCTATTACATCTCTATAGCAGCTTATGGCGGGCTTGGGAGGCACACAGTCAAATTATTAGGCTTTACATATACTGGCCAGCTAGCATTTTCTGACACTAGTATCTTACTTTTCAAAAGTAATTTGATATAAGTAATTTACTTAGATGTTATGTTAAAAGTGTCTACATTTTAAAATACAACAAAATTGAAAAGACTACAAGGAAGATTCATTGGTGTAGAATAATTTTTAAAGAAGTCACTTTCGGTTGATGCAAATTAACTCTGATATTTAATATAAATAGATTAAAACTATGAAAACAACCAAACAAATCCTGTTCAGTTAAAAAAAAAAAAAAAAAAAACTACAAGTCATTTTCCCCACCCTCTACTGAAAGCTTTACTTTTAAACAGCAAAACTAATCATTTGTAATAATATAGTAGAGCTCGACAACTGATTAAATGTGGAAACTTTGCTTGCTTACCTGAACCGGCCAGTTAACTTGGTGGAAGTGTATTCTGGATATTTCTGGTTAAATGGGTGTGGATTTATAGACACACACACCCGACCTACAACCCCACCTGCGTAGAAACAAGAGCTTAGTAACCTGTAAACTTGCAAAACCAGGCTTGTCTGAAAAACTCTGTACTTTTTCCCAGTTCTCTGCTTCTCATACGAAAAAAGCGCTTCTGTCTTTCTCTAAATTAAGATTGAGTGGCCTCATAAAATGAGGCCAAATACCATCTTTGGGCTGCTTTCTCTTTTACCTTTTATTTCCCAGGGTAATGTAGTGTTTGGCTGGAGGTCAATGCCAAAAAAAAAAAAAAAAAAAAAGGAAGAAAGAAACCAGAATGAATCAGAATGAAAATAGGAACTGTGTGTCATTGTTCTTGATGGGAGTTCCAAGAGGCTTGCAGATTGGATACAAAGCAAATAGAAATTCCTAAAGGTTATTCTGTTTACGGGTCTATGGTTAATAGCTAGGGAAATCAAATCCTTTTTTACTTTTATTTGGAAAGAGCGAGTGAGAGAGAAGGAACTGAAAATGTTTTAAAATTCACCATTTTTATAATTTGATTATTCTTTATAATCTTTCTAAGAAATCTTTCCTGTGCCCCCAAAATACAAAACAGGCAATTAGATAAGTTTTTTTATATTTATTTAATAGATCTATTTAATAGTATTGATCAGATTAATTACTGGTATTAATTAAATCAACTTACTGTTAAAATGACCTAGGGCAGTGGTCACCAAATCTGGTCCATCTGTTTATGTATAGCCCAGGAACTAAGAATGGTTTTTATATTTTCAAGTGGTTGGGGAAAAAATGAATCTTATTTTGTGACAAGTGAAAGTCATATGAAATTCAAATTTCAGTGGATGGAGGGCAGCCATATCCACTGACTTACGTATCGTCTATGGCCACTTTTGCAAAGTGACAGCAAAGTTGAGAGTACAGTAAGGACCCCCATGGACACAGAAATTGCGTCTACCCAATCCTGCAGTTGACCCTGTGCACCCCGCAGATGCACACATTCCATCCTCATTATATGTAGGTTTCACATCCTGTCATGCTGTCTTTGTTATTTTTGTTTGTTTGTGTGTTTGCCTTTTAAGAGATGGATCTAACTCTGTCACCAAGACTGGAGTGCAGTGGTGCTATCATAGCTCACTGCAACCTCCAACTCCTGGGCTCAAGCAATCCTCCTGTCTCACTCTCCTGAATAACTGGGACTATAGGTGCCTGCCACAATACCCAGCTGATTAGTTTTATTTTTTTGTAGATGAGGTCTCACTATGTTAGCTAGGCTGGTCTCTAACTCCTGACCTCAAGTAATTCTTCCTCCTCAGCCTCCCCATTTGCTGGATTACATGCACGAGCCAAATTTTATGCTATGTTTTTTATCTAAAATTTTATCTGTCTGTGTTTGGTGATTCACCCATAGGAGGGCTATTTTTACTGAAAAAAAAACTTGTGCAGACCCACACAATACAAACTAATGTTGTTCAAGATCCGCTGTCCTGTGACAGTGACTTTATGGCCTACAAAGCCTCAAGTATTTACTATCTGGCCCTTTACATAAGAAGTTTGTTGATCCCTAATCCAGGGTTCTTTTTGTTCATAAATCAGTCTTTCCTTCTCTTCCTTCATCCCTCGCTTTGCTCCTTTGTCTGCCTTCCTTTTTTTGTTGTTGTTGTTTAGTTGCTTTGACTATAACTAATGAATAGGAAACATGATTATCTTTCTCCTGGAATTAAAGGGGATGTACTTTGAGTATTTTAACGTTAGACACAGTGCCTACCTATATTTGGCCTGCCACGTTAAGAAGGTAGCTGTTATTCTTAAGTCTCTTAAAAGCTAGAATTTTAAAAATGTTAGATTTTGTTGTATAAAGATGGATATACAGATTTTCTCATTTGATGTAGTAAATTTTATTGATTTCCTAATTAAACCTCCCTGTGCTTCTAGAAAAGAAACCTCCTCTAACCATGTTGTATTATTCCTTTACCGTATCACTGATTCGTGTATTTGCCTACTTGTGCTTTATTCCTTATTTGTTCCAGAGAACCTTCCCTGGAACACTTTGTTCAGTGGAATCCTTCCTGCTGAGAGTTATGAAACCCAATCTACAATTTTAATTTTAAATCTGGCGTTTACAAAGACAAGACAGAGCCGGGCAGCAATCCCTGAATGTCTCTGTTAGAAAGGGGCTGGGGGATCTTATCTTGTTCTTGACTGGGAGTGGTTATAGAAAAATCTGGAGATAGTCTTACCTCCCTGTTAAGCTTCTTACACATTCATTTTAGTCGATGGTAAGATGAGAATGAGAACAAGGAAGTCAGGTACCTGTGGGCTAATAAAATCAGATCCCATGGCATCTGAGCTGACCCGTAGCTTTTGTTTTCTCTCACTTGTGTGACAATGCAATTAATCCTCTAAACCAGGAGAATTAGGGGGTAAAAAAAGTCATTAACATTCTGTTATTTTTACAATAATGTTTTGAAATATGTCAGCCAAAATCTATACTGTAATATATCACAAACAGTTTTATTAAGGATTAGTCTCAAAAGTAAAATTCTTTAAAATATATTCACATACATGAAAGCAATTGTTTTCAGTTTTTTAAAAAAATTTCAGATTAATATGGGTGCACATACAGTTAGGTTACATAGTTTGCTTTGGTAAGAGTAAAGTTGTAGTTTTGTCCTTTACCCAGCGCAGTATACCTCATAATGTATCTATTGGGTGGAAATTTACTCAGCCTCTTCCCTTTCTCACCCCTACTTGGGTTTCATGGAGTTCTTCTCTCACGTGGGTGTGTAGTTGCTAATCTGCTAGATCCAATTCAGTACTGAGTACAATTGATGCTTGTTTTCCTATTCTTATGATACTTCATTTGGGAGCATGTTCTCTAATTCCGTCCAGGGTATCACAAAGTAAAAGAAATGTCCACCTTTTTATGGCTGTATAATATTCCACAGTATACATATCCTATAATATTTTTTTCCCTTTTTTCTTTTATTGAATGGTAACTGTGTACATTAATGCACTTCTAGGGTACAGTGTGGTGTTTTCACACACAATCCGAAACACTTTCATCAAACTGGTTACCATAGCCTTCATGTCATTTTCTTAGTTATTGTGTTAAAACATTCATATTCTACTCATAGAAAGATTCACTTGTATCCTTCTAAGATAAACCACAGAAGCGAACCCTCCAATACCCCTCCCTCCACCCATTCCCCCCTCCCCTATCCCTCCCCCCTCCCTGTATCCTTAGGTTATTATTAGGTTATAGCTTTTATATAAAAAGTTTAAATTAATTTCATAATAGGGGTGTGTACATATATCCTATAATTTAATAATCCATTCATGTGTTGAAGGGCACCTGGGTTGTTTCCGCATCTTTGCAGTTGTGAATTGTGCTGCTTTAAACATTCACATGCAAATGTCTTCATGATAAGATGTCTTTTCTGTTGACCAAATTTCTAGTAATAGGATTATAGTATCAAATGGTAGATCTACTTTTAGTTCTTTGAGGATTTTTCATACTTCTTTTCCTTGAGATTGTATTAATTTGCAGTCCCATCAACAGTATGTAAGTGTTCCATACACTGGAACACTTTCTCTCCATATTCATGCCAGCTTCTTTTTCGTGAAGGGGGGGTAACTTTATGATGTGGGCTAATCTCACTGGAGTTAGGTGATACCTCAAAGTGGTTTTGATTTGCATTTCTATGATGATTTGGAACAATGAGCAGTTCTTCATTTATTTGTTGGCTATTTGTCCTCAGGAGAAAAGTTTTTGTTCATGTCTCTTTTCCAGTTATTCATGGGGTTATTTGACCTTTTCTTGTTGATTTGCTTCTTGAGTACTTTGTCAATTCCAATTGTTAGCCCTTTGTCAGATACATAGCATGCACATATCATCTCCCAATCTCTAGGTTGTCTCTTTGCTTTGTTGATTATGTCCTTAGCTGTGCAGAAACTTTTAAACTTGATCAGGTCCCATTTGTTTTTATTGTTGCTACAATTGCATTATGGAAAAAAATTAAAAATTATTATTTGTATATATTAACTTTCATCCTTTCCCTGACTGTATTTGTCTGATACCAGTTGGGCTTTTCTTTCTGAAGATTTTCCTGGCATTATCCTTCTCAATTTTTTTTCAGTGTCATCTTATATTTATATTTTTGTAAAACTTATACAATCATCTTTAAAGTTATCATTATGGTTAATATATTTGGAATTATAAAAAGCTTCAACTTGTGGCACTTTCCTGTAGGCCATACTGTTTTTAATTAAGAAAATACTTTTTCTGTAGTGTTATCTGATAAGTTAGAGAAAATTTAGTTCTATGGAGGATATATTCAATGCTAATTTTAATCTTATAGAAATATGATCTCAATACTATATTTTAGTCTTTGCTTAGAGTACCTTTTCAACAGAAGAGTTTACAGATTGAAACATGTAAAATAAGTCATCTGTCTTTATAGTTATTTGTTTCATTAACTTTCCAAACTACAAACTTTTAGATACTCTATTTCATTCTATTCATGAACCAAAAATATAAATGTATTTAATTATATAGTCTTTCAGTATGTTGAAATATTCCATGCTTGGAGTTGATTCTTTCAAGGGCATTGTTCCATGAATTTTACAAATTTACTTAGTCACATAAGACACACATTGAATTGAAGGTTAGGATTGCCTGTTCACTTTGCGCTCCCATGCTTGCATGTGTGTGTGTGTTTCTATCTCTCTTCATTTGTCCTTCAGTTTGACAGTCTCTCCTTCAGTGGAAAACAGGTCTCCCTTTCACCCAGTTAATGGGTCTCCTTCCTAAGACGATAATTCTCATCAACTTCTCAAACTGCCTTCCAGAAATAATTTCTTTATTTTTAAGCATTTTTCTATCTGTTCATCATCTATCATCTCCATATGTATCTATTTTTTAATTTTAACATTAAAATGAATGATGCCAGTTTATCAATACTTCTGAACCTTCTTTTAAAGTTTTTT